CATAATGAGTGGAGCGGGGGGCAGCCATAAACTGACTAACAACATGAACTGCATATGCTATGTCTGGGCGTGTCGTAGTGAGATAAACCAAACTACCAACCAACTCCCGATAACGAGTAGGGTCAGGGAGTGGAGAACCATCCAATGGTGTGAGCTTGACATTCGGTTCAAGAGGTGTGGAGACAGTCTTACTATCAGTGAGATCGGCTTTAGATATGAGATCTGATGCATATTTCATTTGAGAGAGAAGATAACCAACATCTGAGGATGTAACTTCAAGTCCCAAAAAATAACTCAAAGAGCCAAGGTCTTTCATCTCAAATCTGTGGCTGAGAAACTGCTTAAGCTCATCAATCCCTGAAACATCATCTCCAGTGATAATCATATCATCAACATATATGAGTAAGAGAACCATTCCCTAAGCAGATTTACAAACAAATAAAGCTGTATCATGTGGACTAGAGGTGAAACCAAATTCACTTACAGTAGAACTGAATTTTGCAAACCAAGCTCGAGGAGACTGCTTTAAACCATACAAGGCTCATCGCAATCGACATACCTTATTCGAAGGAGGAGTAAGTCCAAAAGGCGGTTTCATATAAACCTCCTCTTCTAAATCACCATTAAGAAAGGCATTCTTCACATCCATCTGAAACAGCTTCCATTTACGTACAGCAGCAATAGCTAGTAAACTACGTACTGTGGTAAGACGAGGAACAGGAGCAAAGGTCTCCTCATAGTCAATGCCATATTTTTGCGTAAAACCCTTTGCCACTAGACGTGCCTTATAGCGCTCCACAAATCCATCAGAATGAGTTTTGATCTTGTATACCCACTTGCATCCAACAAGAGTCTTATCAGGAGGAAGATCAACCAAGTCCCAAGTACCTGTCTTTTCCAAAGCCTGTAATTCCTCTTTCATAGCTTGCTGCCATAAAGGATCTAAAGAAGCTTCTTTGTAGGACTGGGGTTCATGTAAGGAGGTGAGTGCGAAAAAACAATGATAATCTTGAAGATATGTCAGTGGATTTCTTACCCGTGTAGGATGACTAGAAGAGGAAGTAACTGGTGGATTTTCAATCTCATTTGTTCTAGGTGCAATATCCGCAGAAGAGACATCTTCTGAAACAGGAGCCATGGAAGTTTGATCATTTGAAAGCTCATTAGGAGACCTTGCATCATCATTAGGAAATAACTCAAGGGATGGGTTAGTGAAGATAGGAGGGTGATGAGAAGGAGACACCTTGAATTCAGAAAGAAAAGCAAACATAGTGTGTTCCCAAAAAACAACATGACGAGAGACACGGAGTTTTTGTGATACTAGATCCCAACAACGATAACCTTTATGGTGTATCCCATACCCCAGAAAACAACAAAGTCGAGCTCGAGGCTCTAACTTGTGATGTTCATGAGAAGGTAAAAGAACAAAACAAGCATAACCAAAAATTTTAAGAAGATCGTAGGCAGGAAGAATACCGTAAAGACACTCATAGGGAGATTTATTTTGTGTGACGATAAAGGGGACTTGATTTATGACATAGACAGTTGTAAGTGCAGCTTCACCCCAAAAACGCTCAAGACATGAAGAGGAAATCAAGAGAGCACAAACCAAGTCCAAAATATGACGATGTTTTCGCTCAACCTGCCCATTTTGTTGAGAGGTATATGGACAAGATCTTTGTTGTATTGTGCCCTGCTCTTTAAGAAAAGACTGAAATTTAGAATCGAGATATTCAAGAGCATTATCAATTCTCAAGACCTTGATAGTTTTAGAGAATTGAGTCTTGATCATATTAGCAAACTCAACATAAATTTGAGGTAATTCTGAGCGTTTTTTCATCAAATATAGCCAAGTGAAGCGAGAATGATCATCGATAAATAACACAAAATATTTTGAACCACCCATGGTAGGAGTGGGAGATGGCCCCCATATGTCAGAATGTACTAAATCAAAAGGTGCAAGTGAAATGGAATCACTTTTATTAAAAGATAAAGCAGGCTGTTTAGCGACTTGACATGAGACACAATGTAAAGACTCTTCTTTAATAGAACTTAAAGACCCATTTTGAATTAAAGGACGAAGTTTACTAATAGAGGCATGACCAAGACGAAGATGCCACAAGTGCAAGGAGGAAGATGTTGAGATGGCACACAACTGGGAAATGTAACTAGAAAGGATGTGCAAGGAGGTGAGCTCAAACAAACGTCTAACTTTACAGCCTGTCCCAAGAATCTGCCCTGTCTGTGGATCCTGCACGCGACAACCATGAGTAGAGAATATTAGTTCAAGACCAAGGTCACACAATTGTCCCACAAAAATAAGATTGAAAGTAAGTTTTGGTATCAGGAAAGTGTTTGGTAAGGTAAGGGTAGAAGTAGAAACTTGACCATATTGGCTAACTTGCATTTGTGAACCATCAGCAGTATGGATAGGAGGTGCGGTGGTGTTAGGAGTTAATGTAGAAAAAAGTGTAGAGTTTGAGGTCATATGATTACAACAACCCGAGTCAAAAATCCAAGAAACTTTACCTGGGATGGTAGGCAAGGCAGTAGATGTAGAGGAAGATGATATCATCTGTCTAAGAAGGGTTTCTAGATTACCAATCGAAGGATGGACTGAGGTATCCTCATTGGCAGTAGCTGCAACAACCACAGGCTTGGAAGACTGATTAGGCTTTGATTGGGTCTTCCACTGATCAGATCTCTTAGGTAGTGAAGTACAATTAAGCGCAATATGGCCTTTCTGCTTGCATTTATGACATTCTACCAAACTGCATTCATATAGAGCATGTCTGTACTTGTTACAGTGCCAGCAATGCTTCTGTCCTCTCTTACTCAAAGGAAACTTGTTGACAGCTGCAACCACAGTAGTATCTCGTTGAGGCTTAAGTAAGCTCAGACGAGTTTCATCAAATAATAATCGTGAGAGAGCACTATCCAAGGTAGGTAAAGGAGACTGATGCAATAAAGAGGCTCTGCATGGTTAAAAATCATCAGTAAGTGCCATAAGTAATTGAATTAACCTCATTTTATCACGATACTCAATGTACTTCCCAATATCAGAAGTGTCATTGAAGGTTGGTTCTGAGAGAGCAAGCTGATCCCAAATAGCCTCCATCTTAGCATAAAAACTAGTAATGGACTCTCCACGTTCTTGTTTCAAATTATGTAACTCTTCCCACAATTGATATTGACTGGATAAATCAGAAGTGGTATACCTGGCTGCAAGCAAATCCCACACTTCCTTAGCTGTTTCATATCATCCAAACTGAAGGTGAATGGAATGAATTGAGGTGTTACGAAACCAAGTGATGATCTGATGATTTTTGCTGTCCCAATCCTCCAGACGGTCAACATACTTCTAATTTGTCTCATCAGTAACTTTCTGTGGAAGTGTAATGTCACCAGTAATATACCGCCATAATTTTCGACCCTTCAAGAAACTGCACATACTTTGAGCCCACAGTACATAATTTGAACCATTGAGAATGGTTGAAATTGGTTGCGAAATATCAGATTTTTCCATAATTAAATAAAAAAATATGCTGCAAGAAAAGGAAAATCTGACCGAGCAAAAAGTGGAACACCAGAAAAGATGGTAGCAATTTCGGATGGCTGATATATGGCTGACAACGGCAGTCACAACAGCCAAAATTTGGGCGAAGGATCAGTGGAACCTGTAGGAGCAAAATCCGAAACTAATTTGCAAGTGGAACACAATCAGAACAAGTTGAACACAATTGGAACAAACACCACTGGTGGTTGGCACGAAACGGAGCTGCTGATGTAGAGAATTACAAAACACAAAATCTCAAAGAAAAAAGAGCCCACTATGCTCTGATACCATGTGAGGAAATAAGCAGGAGAGAAAAATATGAAGAAAATACTTTTCTTGAGTCATTTGAATATACAAAGTGCCTATTTATAGGTCTATACAAGAGAATATTCTATGGTATAAAATCAATTAATCTAATTATGTCAATCAATTATAATCTGAATATAATCATAGCAATGTGGACACAATTAAGGGAAAATATTCTGTAACAGAGATGAAGGAGAAGAAGAGATTACGGTTGCTGCGAAGCTCAAGGATTCCATGGTGACAATAGCAAATTATAGAGATGTTGTTTTCACCGAAGATAA